TCACACTAGAAACAAGGCTACCGAAACCACATGATCACAAGGTGCGCTGCTTCGGAAGACGAGATGTAAATGGACTGCAAAGGAAGGCAGCTGAGCTGATTTGGCAGCCAGCCGAAGATAGATTTGTAGTGGAGGATGTCTGGAGAACAATTAAGGAGAACTTACTTGCATTGCAGAATGAGTCCGCGCCTCTGAAACTGCGGAATTCATTCGGTAAACCACCTTGGTGGAAGGCTTCCATTGGAAAGGAAATACGCCGTCGTAACCCCAGCTGGAAACGATGCTCGGACCGTTACTCTTCCTCTTATTCATCAACGACTTGGCGGGGTTAACCAACTCACCTCGCTTCGTTATCGCGGATGATGTGAAGGTGGTGGGATCGAGTGATAGAGCTAACCTAGTGAGCGATATTGAACGGGTGGTTGAGTGGTCAATTGAGTGAGACTTGGCACTGAATGCGGCCAAGTGTCAACTATTGACCAAGCAAACAGATCCCTTAGTTGCTACCGGAACGTGGGGAGTGTTCGAAGTGAAACCGGTAGGATCTGCCAAGGATCTTGGGGTAGTAATGAATTCAGATTTCAGCTAGGGCAGCCAATGTGAAATCGCAGCTCGCAAGGCACGGGGAGAACTTTTCCGGCTCAGATCTGCCCTTTCTTGCAGAAAACCGGAAATCTTCGTCCCGTTATGCAAGGCCTCATCTGGAATACTGTGTGCAAGCCTGGGCACCCCTGCACAAAAAGGACGCTGTCTGCCTGGAGAAAGTTCAGAGACTAGCTACAAGAATGGTAGAGGGACAGAGGGGTAAATCGTACTAGGAAAGATTAAGGGACCTCGATCTATTTTCGCTAGAATTAGAGGAGACCTCACAGAAGCGTTCAAAATTACGAGGGGTTTCTCTGGGATTCCCCCTGAGGAACTCTTCACTGATGCCCCGTATGCTGGTACCAGGGGCCACGAGCACAAACTGATGAAGAAAAGGAGTAGGTTAGGTGTGAGGTCCAACTACTTCAGCAATAGAATAGGAAATAGGTGGAATAGACTACCTGAGGAAATAGTCAACTTGCCTAGTATCCACGCCTTCAAACTGGCTTTTGACAAGAGATGGTTAGAACTGTTTCCGAACGAGGAATACTGAACAAAATGCGACCATTAGGTTCATAACTTTTTTCTGTATGCCATTTGGAACGCATTCACATTAAAAGTCTCTCGCCGACACGGCGAGAAGTAAGGTTTCTCTTTCTCTCTGTTTGCAGATAGGTGAAGAAACCGATCGTTTGAAGAGGTGGATGCACACTCGTGAGCACATCACCGAAGGGATTCTGAACGCTTGATTGGCCTGTGGCCACTACCAGTCTTGTGCAACCTGACCTTCCAGACTTCCTTAATACCTAATCAACTGTACGCAGTGTTGGAAGCTACTTCCATCCGCCGACAACATAGAAAACTGGACGCTCGATTAACAAGTGCTACATTAGTCCTGTGTAAACAGAACTGAGCTGAATTGTTTAAATTGATTAAGTTCAGATACTATTGACCTTTGCGCTCATTTCGAGGCAGGTTTTTCTGCTTCGTTTTACTATCAATGCTCGTGGCTACCATAATTTTATTGATTCATGTTGTTTTATCTGGATCCACTTCCACGAAACGTAATGTAAAATTTGAGCAAGAAACCAGTGGCAGTACTGTTGTTTCCTCTTCGGTTGCCCAACATTCGGAATTAAAATTGCAACACCTGCATTTGCTTTTCCGTCACGGTGATAGATCACCTATAAATAGGCGAATCATCGATCAAAGCACGTTCAATAAGTTGTGGCCACATGGTTACGGCCAGTTGACAGATATCGGTATTGAACAAGAGTTCGAATTAGGACGTTGGATGCGCAAGAAATATGGAAATTTCATTCCATCGGAATACAATGCTTCGGACTTTCATATGCGCAGCACTGACATAGACAGAACTCTTATGTCAGCTGAATCGGTCATCGCGGGGGTCTTTTTGAACTCTTCTACTCCTCTGGCTGGTTATGGAATACACTGGCGTCCTATTCCCGTGCATACAGTTCCTGAGGTTGGTTTACAGATGACGTTTGTATCGTCCTTCTTAATGAGAAACCTAATATGCGCTGTGGTTGTAAGTAAATTGCATTTCAGTAATATTCAAATCGATTTGGCTTGCAATTCCCGATCTTGGTCGTGAGTTCTATGGACCCCTGGTTTTGCCGTCAACCTGGCAGCATTCCGCCCACAGAGGAATCATTTATTTATTTTCCCATAATAAAATACGTTTTAACTTGATCATTTTGGTATGCTTTTTAAAATAAGCTACAAGTGAAATGTAATAACTTCCGTTCAGTAGCAACAAGACACTATGAGTGTTCCATTCGTACGTCCAGTTCTTTCAGTTACAATACGTACTGTACAAAGTAGAAAAATAGTTCACCTTGTAGTGATTTACCAAATGATGCCAAATTGAATGCTTAATCTTTTCTGGTGATTGTAGGGTCATATGAATCTGCTCGGAATATTTTACCACTTGAGAGAATCACCATGTCCCACTGTATCGGTTTTTTCCAGGCTGTTTGTTTCTAAAGGCCGTCACGATACTTCGCTTTTGATAGCTCAACGAGTAAAACCAAGGGGCAAGTAGTGAGATATTTTGAAAAGCAAGAACGTGCGCGATGCCGTGCCTATTTTATCACAACAGACGGGGTAAACTCTATGTTCGAGATAACTTGTTTTTCAGCTATGACGATACCGCGCCTGGAAGAATACATGCATTTGGTCACTTAAATTAGCTAAATCCTGATAATCATTTTGTACGGCTAATGGTGTTATTTTATTTAAATTGTTTGAATAGATTTTATCCGATTTCTTTAGTAATATTTGTAGTTGAATTCTTTATTTTGTTTATTCCTCTGAAGGCAAAGTTTAAGTGTATGGTATCAGATCATTTGAAGGTTAATGCGGTGCAACTTGAATGGTTCATCCCACCACTCAAATTGAGAGAATAATGCTTCGTAACACTCACTTATAGTGATTTTGAACAATTCAACGTCGATAGTCTAACATTGTTATAGGCAATTTATTCTAGTGTTGTCACTCTTGGTGGAGCGCCTTGACCGTTAAGTTTAATCTTCCCATTAGCACTCAAACTATCGGTATGAGTCTTGCACCTTCGAAGTGTAAAATGTTGCGACCTAATTGGGTTGGCCCAGCCTTCAACCTCACTTTAACATGGGAAGTAGTATAGTAAGTAGAAGAATCTTGTTTGGGCAGCTATATCTCACCTGGCGGACGCGTCGCAGATGAAGTGTCAGAATGCACGCAGAAGGCTCGATTGACATTTGAAAAGTTTGAGACGTCTGTGGCGCCGCCTCGTCATCCCGGTGTCCGCGCAGGATCAAATGGATGCTGCGGCAGGTCGGCCAGTTATCCTATAGGTTGTAGAAACTTGAATATTAAGAAATGAAGACAAATCTAGACTGCTGATCGGTGCATTTTGTAATGAGGTGCTTGTACATAATTTTCTAAATATGGACAGTAGTTTTGCATGTAAGTACGAATACTCTCTACCTTCTGCAGCTTGGCACGGCTCATGTCAAGTTGTCTCATTGGGTGCATGAGGCTAAGGGCTGACCCCGAAAAGAGGACCGATAATCAACGCACCAGCGTACAACACTGAACCGAAATTCAAAGGCCTTGCGTGACAGGTCTCCAGAAGCTCCCACACGGGTGCTTCGTTCACGCTCCCGCGTTGGATTTACGCCCCATTGCCTTGCGGGTCAGACTCTTGAGTCAAAGGCTCCGGTTTGGGTTCCCAAAGAAAAACCCCTTCGTCGGTGTGGGCTACCGCGAAGTATGCCGTGCCCTAACGTCTTAGGCACCCATTTGGAAAACAACCCTTCCCTTCTGACTAGTTCTTCTTATCAACCTCGATTAACCCCAGATGCCTCCTGTTTACGCCACTCATCGAATATCACTCAGCGTTTTACTGTCAA